GGAAAGACGCGAAGCTTTGGAGTAGCAAATGGAGGCAGTGGGAGGGCTCTGCAGCCTTCAGCACTAATCTAGCTGTCTAGCAGGGGTTAAGTAAGTGGTTCTGAAGCCTGGACTATTGGAATTAGCTTGGCCTGGAGGGCGATTGCATGGTTGAAGCTGGATATACAGGGATCTTTTCATAGGTGGCTGCCAATGAGAGAGGTCTCTTCTCACTTTACCCCTGACTTCATAATGCCCTGGAGTAATTCCCTCCTGAGGGATATTTGTCTTTTCCAGATCCACTCTATTCGATTTCGTTAACTTATACTCTGTGGTCACATATTATTCATTTGTTTTATTCTCCTCAGGCATTTATTAAGAATGTACTCAGAAACTGGCTGAATGCTAGGGATACAAAAAAGAAAGTATTTGAGTAAACTTGATATTTTGTTAGAGGTATGTACACATAACCTAGAAAATGGCTGAACAAATCTCTTGAATTCTCCTCAGGATTTCAAAGAAAAATACTTTTGCAAAGAGCATTTTGGTGGATCAGGGACCTACTCTAAAACACTAATGCTGACTAAATGAGTACATATAATTCAGATATTCGATTTTAAATATTTATGTCCTTTAACATAAAATGACTGAGGTGTAAGAAATCAGGGAGCAAGGTACTTCCTGGGATCCATTTCCGAGGCCAGACCAAGAAAGATTACTGAGGTATTCTTCATCACCCATCTGAGAAAGACCTGTGGTTAGTCTTACACTGATACCAGCCCAACACAATGCCCGAGAGTAGACGATTGGTATGATGGCTTTAGGAGACCCCTTTTTGGACCTCACACAGCTCCAGTGTATGATTAAAGCATGTTTCTGTCATGCAGTGTTATGACTAATAGTAGGTAGTTACTGTTTTGGGAAGTCTGTCTGTGCTCTCCATCATGGTCTCAAAATAAAATAACGAATCATACAGCAGTACCTCTTCTGACCTGAATTCTTTTCTAAATCGAAGATCCCTTTTGTCACGAAAGATTCTATTTGTGATAGAATGTATATGGATTTGTTTGCAGACTTTGGGGAAAGTGTTTTTCATGCTGCATTTTAGCACTGAAAGCTAGTCATGATGTCACAAAATGGTTGAACTGTCCTTTAAAATGTTTTTTCCCCAGGAATCTAGATAAAATGTTTTTTTTACAAATAACGTATTTTCCTTTCAAGGCACATGTTAAAATAAAGGTCAGGAAATTCAGTCAAGTAAACAAGTTAGCCACAACTTTCATCCAAAGGGACCCATGTCACAGGTGTCGCTCACTGCTGCTAGGGCTGGTTTAAACACATTGGTTATGGTTATATATAGCACTTGAAGTCCAAACATTCACTCCAGCTCCATCATCACTTACTTAGGTTGTCCCAGCAAATTCCTCTTGGACTGTTTCTTTGCCAAGTTTAAAAAGTAATAGATTATAAACTATAACAGAGAAAAATCAACTTCTCAATTTTAGAAAAACATAAATAGTTTTCCTTTCTTTCCCTTTCTCCACCCTAAAAGACGCTTTCAAAATGCAAATGAATTTGTAGATACATTCATTTAATGTAACAATGAAAGCAATGTACTAGTTTATCTTGCTAAGTGAAATGCATAAAATTTATTAATGCATTTAAAAAGTTGTGTAAGAAAATATTGTCTTTTATTGTTTTTATAAGACCATGAAAAATAAAAAGATAACAAATAGCAAATTAATTTCCCTACTATGATTTTTAAAGTGATATTTCACTGAACCATAATATACATATAAATTAATGTGCTCCTCACAGCTATGCAGATTGATGATTTCCCACACACTGAATACACCTGGTAACCAGCACTCATATAAGGAATTAGGTCATCATACTGGAGCATAACTCAGAAGCTCCTGTCTTGTTCTCTGCTACTCAACTCCATTTCCTACTCTGAAGGGTAACTACCACTCCTCTACCTTCTAATACCTAAACTTTTGTTACTTATTTCTTTATTTTTGTACCTAATACCGTGTGTACTCTTTTGTATATGAATAATGAATGTGCTGTGGAAGATGATTACCTGAGTCTTTTGGTGAATATATGCATGAGTGTTTTAGAGTATAAACTGCATGGTGGCTCTGTGGGTCATAGAGTATGCATGTTTAGTTCTGGTAGAGAATTCCAAATTGTATACGAGATGGCTCTATGTATTTTCTTTTTTTTTTTTAAAAAAGAATTATTTAATTTTATTTATTATTGTTATTACTTTTCAATTCACCAGAGAAAGAAAGAGAGAGGGAAAATGGGAAGACAAGACACCAAGTCCAGGACTTAAACCCCAGTCAGCCACATGGGAGTCCAGCGCCTCAACCACCATACCACCTGATGGCCCTAGCAAAACTTTTTGTGTAAATCATGCCTTCTGAAAACTCATGTTCATGGTGGCACTCACAGTTCCACCTAAAGTCCAGTCTGTAATGAAACTCATATTTCTGCAATGAAGCATGAGTCACCATGACATAAGACTGTAGTCCACTTGGAAAGAAAGTACATATTCCAATCTTTCATAATCAACCTTTCTATGTTATAAAAAGACACTTGATTGCTTTCAAGGAAAATTAAGTAAAATGGATCAATGAACCTTTTCTCCAAAATATAGCAGATAGTTTTTATTTGTAAGCAATTGAAACCAACTCTGATTGATTTAGCAGAAAAGAAATTTGATAAAAGGATATTTGGTAACTCACTGACTCATTGAAGTAGGGCAGGGGAAGCATCAGGCTTGGAGACATCTCAGTCATGCAAAATGCCTGAAAGTATATTTTTCATTCCAAAAAATTCTATTAATGAATAAAAGTGTACTTATTGAGAGAAAGACAAGCATACTTGGTGAGTTTCCATGCTTCAGTCCAGCCCAGCTCTCCCAGCCAGCCAGTGTCATGGGTGTGAGTGCCTAGCCTGTACTGGTTGTCAAGGGAACAAAATCTGCATCCTTCACATGGGTCAGCATGGCAGCGCAGGGCACTACCACTATGCTGCTGAGCTACTCAGATCATGCTTGAACTGGTCCTCTATAGACAGTGGATATCACTGTGAGGTACAGAGCTTATGGCCTGCCCTGGGCAGTCTGTTTTTATTATAGCCCCAGTGAGTCTCCCATCCTAGTGCTCACACTCTTGTGCTCTCTTCTTCTACAATGAGTCAAGGCAGCTCCGTGTAGCCATTGCAGTTCAGTGCAGAAGATAGTAAATGACTAAATGAGGCTAGGTCACAAAGAATATCACAACTTCCACTTGGTTCCCCAGATTGCACACTCTGGAGGAAGCTAGCTGCCACGCCTTGAGGACATGAAGGATCTGAGAAGAGGAACTACAGTCTCTTGTAACAACCAGAACTGACTTACCATGCAGGCTGCTGGAAGTATTTCCACTACTCTCAGTTCCCAAGGATCTGGTGGCTGGCTTTCTCACTTTCTTTGTCTCTCTCTCTCTCTCTTTCTGTCTGGTGAGCACATATGCTCTATAGCAAATTTTAAAAAATAATAATGAATAAATATAATTAAATAACTTTAAAATTTGTGTATATTTGTGTTATTCAACCTGATGCTTTGATATATTTGTATTTTGTAAAATAATTAAGATACTGAACATTTCAAAAAAATATATACTATGCCTCTCAACTCCACCTAAGAGCTTCAGGAGAAAGCTTTCATGTGATTGCCATGACTGAATGATGGTTTTGTCGG